TAAATGCTAAAAATAAAACACTAGCTAAAAGAAGATAAATGCTAAAAATAAAACACTAGCTAAAAGAAGATAAATGCTAAAAATAAAACACTAGCTAAAAGAAGATAAATGCTAAAAATAAAACACTAGCTAAAAGAAGATAAATGCTAAAAATAAAACACTAGCTAAAAGAAGATAAATGCTAAAAATAAAACACTAGCTAAAAGAAGATAAATGCTAAAAATAAAACACTAGCTAAAAGAAGATAAATGCTAAAAATAAAACACCAGCTAAAAGAAGATAAATGCTAAAAATAAAACACTAGCTAGAAGATAAATGCTAAAAATTAAACACTAGCTGAAATAAGCTAAATGCTAATATTAAAAAACAAGTTAAAAAGACTAACAGCAAAATTTAGTCAAAATTTACAGTAATTAAAGATTTCAAAGAGAACATTGTTCTAAATGTTTGGTAATAAAAAAAAGATGTTTTAAATTATAGAAGTTAAAAAAAACTATCAGCACTCGTCCCATTAATCAGCTGAAGGTTTTGATGTAAAAACAGCTAAAAAACAGCAAAGTATGCAGCAAATCAAATAAAAGAGGAAAACAGTCTGAATGCTGACTCAGCACAAAGAGTTCAGATACTTTCCTTTAGATTTTAGATCCTAAATAAGATGCAGCTAAAGAACGTTTGATTCAGCTGATGTCAGATTTCTCATAAAGATCTCTGAGGAAACATTTCAAACAATAAATGCTGTTTTTTTTTCTTCTTTAAAGTTATTCTAGGTGAAATTATTTTTTGGTTTTCAGAATAAAAGTTTTGTCAGATTAAAGGATTAGGGACTGTCTTCTTCTTTTTGTTTCTTCATTTTGAATTTTAAACTTGATTTTCTTCAAACAGTAACTCTAACTGGTATCATCTCTGACCCCCGTGGCCTCGGAGCGTCCCGGTTCTGCTTGTTTTCCTGGGCCCAGCTGCTGAATGCTGGCGTTCTGCTGGGCATCTTGGGTTTGCAGCTGCAGATGTGACCCTGCTGATACGGCTGCAGGAAGGAGGTGTGTGTGTGTGGGGGGGGGGGGACCTGGATCAGCCAGCGGCCTTGACAGAAACAGATACTCTACCCAGGTGGACCGGCAGGGACAGGTGGACCCGCTGACACCATCTGAAAAAACTGCAACAAGAAATTGTGAGAACTGAGCCAAACATCGTGTCGCTGATAAATACTGATACTTCAAACCAGCTTCTAAAGAGCCGAAGCTGCAGAAACTCACAGCTGAAATGTTTCCAACAAAGAGGCCTTCAAACAAAGTTTGAGTTGCTTCTTTATGCATTTAAAAATTTATTACAAAGAAGACAAACTGGAGCTGCAGTCAATCATGATCCCTAACAGGAAGTCGAAAGGCCTTTTCAAATTAAAAGACCTGAGCAGATCCAGGTGTGTGACAGGGGACCCCTCGCAGCGTTTCAGGGTTTGACCTTTGACCCTGTCACACAAACAGGAAGTGTCTGACAGCAGAGAAAAGCTACTGTAGAGAGAACAGAGGACGTTAACGCTGCTGCTGCAGAGTAAAATGTTACCACTGAGCTGAGAAAACAACGCTTCAGTCACGGCCATGAGAGCTGGGGGGTGGGGGGGGGGGGCTCAGCTGCTGCCTGGGAAGAGAGGAGAGTAACGTTTTAATCTGGAGTGACGCAGGATAAAGTCCTCCCTCCCACCTTATCACCCCCCCTCCCCCACTCACCTTCAGAAGACCCACTGCAACAGAAGGATGACATGTAAACATGTAAACAAAAACATGCAAACATGTCAACAAACACATGTAAACATTAACATACTGTAACGGCAGTTTAAAAAGGCATAGATGTCCGTCTGAGACACGTCCAGGTGTCATTAAAATAAATTACCTCACTTTTCCACTCGAGCAGATTTCTCCTCAAAAGTTAAAAGTTTGATTTTGTCTGTTAGTAAAATATCTTGTACCACAGGACAGATTTTGAACTTATAAATTTAAACATTTAAAACTGTCTAAACGTTCAGGTCTGAGTGTTTTTATTTTCCCCACAGTTTAATCAATAAAGAGGAAATCCTGAACGAGGCGATTGTGTGAAGATAAACTTTTGAAGCTACAGAAAATATTTTATTTTATCTCGTTTCTCCGGCAGAAAACAGATTTTAAAGTTTATCGAACCGATGAATTATTACACAATAAACTTTGCTCAAGGTTGTTTTATCTCGGAGCAGAAAACTCAGCATCGTTTTTTTTTTTCTGTTTAAAACGTGAAAAATAAAAATCTTTTGTCATGAATTTGAGTTTTGTTCCCTGCGGAGCAGAGAAATCATTCCTTAAATAATTAAATATATTTTCTGACTAATCTGTAAATTTTCAGACGGTCCTGACGAACTCAGAGCTCCTAACAGGTAAATGGTTCAAAGACAAAAAAACAAAAACAAACAAAAAGTTATAAAATTATCAAATTTATTCTCTTTACTGACAAATAAATAAGTAAAAACATTTTAATAAAAACAGTTACAAAGATAACGTGAAGAAAAAAATAAAGTTTGAGTCAAACAGAAAGTTCTGAAAGAAGATGAGCAGCGAGATCACACTCAGAGTTTCACTCATCGCACACAGGAAGTGCTCGTGCTCAACTTCCTGTTAGTGATCATGATTGACTGCAGCCGGTAAATTCTCTTTGCCTGAAAAACAAGGATTTGTTTCACCAGATGAAAGTAAGTCAAATGTTCAGGAGAAACCCAGGAAACAGCAGTGTCCCTGCCCCCCAGTGAGGACAACATCTTGGTGGACTGAAAACCTCAGAGGGGGCTGACGGAGACCGAAGTGGGCGGGCCGGTTGTGAGCTGCGTCTTTGTCCTCCTGCGTGGCGAGGAAGCTCTCTGTGGAAACGACGATGACGGCGGTGTTTTCTTCCTGTAGGCGTCTCTCCTGGGACTGTCGGGCGCTCCGAGGGTCTCCAGGAGTCTCTTCTGAAACACCGCCTGGAACTGCAGGACAGACGACAGGAAGCGTGAGGGACGGTTCTGGACCTGAAAATTAAACAGAACGTTCCAGAAGGAGGTCGTACCAGGTCTGTGCTCGTGGTGGGGTGTGTTGTTGTTGTTGCTGCTGTTGTTGTTGTCATCATCTTGGTTTTGGGTTTGGCGCAGTACATCTCCAGGAACTGAAGCTCACAGCCGGAGGATTTACAGCATCGGTCAACGATTCCCTTCCCCCGAGGCCGAGGACCGTACCCTGACCAGGAACCTTTACCTGAAAGAGAGAAAAAAAGAACGCATCAAATAAACAGTTTTTACCTTCTTCATGAGTTTGTTAGCTCAAATTACCTTCTTAACGAGCTCGTTAGCTCAAATTACCTTCTTAATGAGTTTATTAGCTTAAATTGCCATTTTAACAAGCTCTTTAACTCCAATTACCTTTTATGAGTGTTAGCTTCAATTACCTTCTTAACAAGCAAGTTATCTGAAATTATTTTCTTAAACTTGTTAGCTTCAATTATTTTCTTAAACTTGTTAGCTTCAATTATTTTCTTAAACTTGTTAGCTTCAATTATTTTCTTAAACTTGTTAGCTTCAATTACTTTCTTAAACTTGTTAGCTTCAATTACTTTCTTAAACTTGTTAGCTTCAATTACTTTCTTAAACTTGTTAGCTTCAATTACTTTCTTAAACTTGTTAGCTTCAATTACTTTCTTAAACTTGTTAGCTTCAATTACTTTCTTAAACTTGTTAGCTTCAATTACTTTCTTAAACTTGTTAGCTTCAATTACTTTCTTAAACTTGTTAGCTTCAATTACTTTCTTAAACTTGTTAGCTTC